TGAGTGTAGTGCCTTTGGAGACCAGAAGAGGGCATTAGATTCCCTGTAGCTGGAGTTAGGGTAGTTGTGGGCTGCCCAGTGTGGGAGTTGGGGATTGAACTTGAGTCTTATGCAAGAGCAGTACATGCTCTTGACGGCTGAACTATCTCTCCAGTCCACCCTGTTCTTAAAGTTGGCCCAGCTGGAGCCAGTAGGTGAATGGGGTATTGATGAAAACCTCTGCAGCACAGATGGGAAGAACGGTGAACACCTTCATTCGTGAGGTCTAAAGCTGACGAGGAAACGACAAAGTGTGCAGATGACAGAAATAGACGGTGCTCTCACATTTGGGGCCAAAGGTCAACAGCAGGTGTGTTTGTTTAAAGGGTGGACCAGAAACCCAGTGGGATGGCATGATGCCAGGTACCTAGTCTTTTGAGTGTGAGCTATGTGAATACAGAAAAAACAAAACGAAACAAAACAAACATAGAAGGGCAGCTTCTCATCCCCACTCCATCTCTCTTGGTGGTGCTGAGGACCTGAACCCAGGGCCTTATGCATCCCAAGCAAGCTCCCTGCCAACAAGCGGCATCCCAGCCCGTTTTTTGTTTGTTTTCCCACTCTTCAAAAAAAAAAAAAAAAAAAAAAACAAGCAAAAAAAAAAAAAAAAAAAAAGCCGGTGCCCACCCACCCTCCCTCTTCTCCCAGCTCTCACCTGCAGGTACCAGAACTTCACCAGCCGAAGGAGGTTCTTCAGTTTCACGGGGCGGCTTTTCACAAAATGCCTCTGCAGCTCTGTGAAGCTTGGAGAGAACTCTCCAGGGTAGCCTCGACTCCTTATTAGATTTTCGTAGATTTCCGGTGCTGGCTTCAAGTCTCGGGAAAAGGGTCCTGGGAGGAGAAAGTTATCTGGTCAGGAAACTCTAGCTTTTGAGATGGGAAAGATAGGAAAACCTCCTTCCTTCCCATCCTTTATCTCCTTCAGCCCTCCCTCCCTCCCTCCCTCCCTCCCTCCCCTCCTTCACCCCCCTTCATCCCTCCCTCCCCTCCTTCATCCCCCTTCATCCCTCCCTTCTGTCCTTTCTTGACAGGGTCTCTCTGGGTGTCTCAGGCTATCACTGGGTGTATGATCCACCCACCTCGGCTTCCTGAGTACGGAGATCACAGTCAAGCTCATGGAATCCTCAGTTCAGCTCCATAAGGGAGGTAGTTGTAATGGCAACCATGGGAAATTGCCACTTTTGTAACTCAAATGTGGGCAAATACTGTCCGTCCCCATGACTCTCCTTAACATTATCACAGCCACTAAGTTAGCGCGCTCCGTCGGAGGTGTTAAGTTGTTAGCCCAAGGTAATACAGGTTATAAAATGTGAAGATATGAGAGTCTTATTTTAAAGATGATTCTCATCCAGTTCTCTCTGACTCCAAAGACCTTAAGACTGATGGTTTGATCTGGTGTTTTCCAGAGGGTGGGTAGGAAATCGTTTTTGATGAATCCTCTTTGCCCATGCAACACTGGTTCATGGGAACCCATGCATTTATGGGATCTTCACCGTATATTTCCAGTCCCGCCTACCCACTAAAGAGCAAACTCCATTGGTTTCAACTTTCTCTAAACTCTTCCAGAAGGAAGAGACCCCAGAACCATCTCTCTGAAGCTGACCCACCACAGGATTTACCCAAAGCATCATAAGCCGGCAGAACATCCATCTGAATAATGCAGTCACTCTTCCTGGGCTGGACCTTTAAAGTCAGGGAGCGAGGGGTCCGATTCCCCTCTCTGTGTTTAACCACAGTGATTTTGTACGCCAGGCTCCTCCTGCAGTGAAGGAGCTTGTTCTCAATGAAGTCGATGATGGATTCTCGGTGTCTCGCCTGATCTTGGAAACTGGAGAAGCAGCTCAGGAACAGAACTATGTCCTGGTCAGATCTGTGGTTCAGCATCGTCCCCTTTCCCGAGGAGCCTCCCTGTGGAGGAGACAGTGCTAAACTGACCTATCTTGAGATTTGGTACTTTGAGGTTGAGAGGTACACCCAAAGCATCGGTGATAAGTTCCCTATATAACCCTCGTATAGGGAACTTGCAGAGGGAAGCCTTTGACCAGATGGCAGTGGCACACGCCTTTAATTCCAGCACGCAGGAGGCAGAAGCAGGCGGATCTACATGAATTTGAGGCCAGCAAGGTCTACTGTTGTGGAATATTAATCTAAGATGTGTTACATTCGTTTATGCTGTGGAATATTTGTTTAATGATTCAAAGATGTGTTGCATTCCTTTATGTTGCATTTGTTTAATTCTGTGAAGCTGTGTTACTGTGCCTGTCTAAAACACCTGAGGGTCTCATAAAGAGCTGAACGGCCAATAGAGAGCAACAGAAAGGCTGGGCGGAGCTGGCAGGCAGAGAGAATAAATAGGAGGAGTAATCTGGGGAGAGAGATTGAGGAGTGAGAAAGAGGAGGAGAGGAAGACTCCAGGGGCCAGCCAGCCTGCTACACAGCAAGCCATGGAGAAAGAAGTAAAGAAAGGTATACAGAAAGAGAGAAAGATAAAAGCTCAGAGGCAAAAGATAGATGGGATAATTTAAGTTAAGAAAAGCTGGCTAGAAACAAGCCAAGCTAAGGCCAGGCATTCATAAGTAAGAATAAGCCTCCATGTGGGATTTATCTGGGAGCTGGGTGGTGGGTGCCCCAAAGAGCCAAAAGAGTAAACAACAACAACAATCAACTACCGTCTCCAGACTGAGCTCCAGGACAGTCACAACTAGGCACAGAAACTCTGTCTCGAAAAACCACGCACAAAAAAGAAGCTATCGGTCCCCATCATGGAGACCTTTGCTGTGGGCATTGCAGGTTGGGCATCCCTAGTTCGAAACTGAGAAATCTAAATGTTCCAAAATCTCAAACTTAAAAAACAAACACTTTTTTTTATGTATTGGGTTTTTTGTTTTTGTTTGTTTGTTTTGCCTGCATGTATGTCTGTATACCACACGAATGCCTGTTGTCCCCAGAGGCCAGAAGAGGGTGTGGGTGGGTCCTCTGGAAGTAGAGTTACAGATGGTTGTAAGCCACCACACCAGGGAAACAAAATATCAACCTCAGAGCTACATCCCCAGCCCCAAACAAATCACTGTTTGAAAAATGCTATAATGAAACACAATACTGTGATCTAATTAAAAACCAAAACAGAACGAGGTGAGAGGGCATGAATCTCAGGGTCCCCTCCCCTCCCCTCCAGTGCCTCACTAGGTAGCCAAGCCTGGAACTTGCTAGGTAGCCCAGACCTGACAGTCCTAAACTGGTAATCCTCCTGCTTCAGTCTCCTGAGTGCCGGGGTCACAGGCGGGGCCCGCCACACCCAGCTCTAGACTTTCTATCTGTTGTTGTTTCTTTCAGATCCCAGAAGCAAAGAGGCTGCTAGAGAGCTGAACCTGGGAGCTGGCAGCCGAGTCAGAGGTTTGGAGGGCCGGAACACAAAAGGGGTGGGCTGTATCTTTTGAAGCGACTGCAGGAGCTTCAGTTTCTGTCTGGAAATCCGTTTTGCTAACAGCTCTTCCTAATCTCTGGCGTCAGCTGTCTGTTGAGGGTCTTCATAATCCAAAGTCCTTTGTCTCCAGGCCTAACCTCTGTGGCCACGACTCAGGGTTTCCAGATAAAGCCTGGCTTACTCCGGTTGATGTGAGATGTCTTTCATTTTAGCAAAATGAAGAACATCCAGATTTCTGATCCAAACTATCCTGGTCGAAGGGGACATGTTCTAAATTGGTGCTTTTCTGGGAGAAATGACGCTTTCTAAATAGATGCTTTATTGATTACCTAGGCAGCCCCGGAATCCCATGGAGTTTACCAAGTACTGTCTTGCAAGGGCGTTTCTAACATGACCAAGGGCACTAGCTTAGAACAATAGGTTTCCTTTATGACTTCAGAGGTAAAGTAATATTTCATAAGCAAGAAGCAAAGGCACATATTTTATGGAAATTGGTCCACTCAGAGTTGAGAATCCTAAGTTCTCACTACCACCTCTGCCCTTCAGCTTTGCAAGACTGGTTTTATATACTAAAGCCTTTCCTGTGCTTTATCCATTTATTGCTTATAATAAATCCAACTAAAGAAGAGGAGACTGAGGCTCAGAGGGGTCACAAACTCCACAGGGCAGAGATGGGATTTGAACCCAGGACCCTTTCTGCTCACCTTCACCACCTTAAGCACCTTGACTTCTTGGTCCAGAAAGAGCTCATCACGGAAGCATTGGTCCCGAAGGAACCCCTCGATTCTCGCCCAGGCGTCCTGCCCTTCCTCTTTCCAGTCCCTCTGGGGCTGAAGGCTGTGCTCCAGGAAGTGGTCCAGCATGTCCCCAGGGGTCCCATACAGATCCGGGGTGGGATCCATCTCTGCAGGATCAACCTGTCTCTGGGAGTGAATCCTCTGTGTGTTTGCTTAGGGAGAAGTTTCCAGCCTTGCCCAGATGAAACTCTGGGGAAGGAGACCGTGGGGTGGAGAGACTCGTCTCTGCTTCCAGGGTGGGGAAAGGCTGAATGATGTCTCCAGGCAACACTCTGCTCCTCCCTCGGGATTGGCTTCTCAGCTCTGCAGCCAGCCAGACTGAGAAACGAAACCAGGCTTTCCGGAGAATTGAAAGTGAGTACCAGTTCCCTTTCTTCAAGGCAGGAAGGAACAAGAAGGAAGGAAGGAAGGCTCAGGAGTCTTCCGACAGGCTCTGTGGTGAGCATTGGATATGTCTTTTCAGCAGTCCCAGTGGTAGTGATTGGCCAGATAATCTCATCTGCCCCGGTGATCTGGCAGAGGCAAATTCAAACTCTTTTATTCAATCTTAATTACTAAATATGTCTTGGGCAAGAGACATATAGTTACGCATAGTTAACGCTGAGGGTCATTACACAACATCCATACTCCAAGTTCCTGTCGCCCTCAGCCTACCTCCCCAAGGCTGCTCACCTATAGGAGATATCTTAGTCGAAGGTCACAGCCAGTCTTGAGGGCCAGACTCTCCAGCTGCAGGGCCGATCAAGGTGGCATTTCTCTGATGTCCCCGGCTGTCCTGAAGATGTGAAGAGCGATGCATTGCTCTTGGTCTCTGCTTATAGGCTGTCAAGCGGGCAATGTGAGTTTCTTCTCTTAGGCAGTCCTGTGTCTGGTTATCGTGAGTGAGTGGTGTCCCTGGGTCCTGGTTATCAGGTGCAGCCTTGGGGTAGAGGGGTTCCTGACTAAGCTTTGTTTTCATGTCTAAAAGGCATTTTGGGGGAGGGCAATGCTCATCATACCACACAGTAAATGTACACCTATACATCCTGTTTTAGTTAAGGTTTCTATTTCTGCAATAAAGTACCATGACCAAAAGGGCAACTTGGGGATGGAAGGGTTTATTTCACTTTACAGACTGTCCATCGTGCAAGGCAGCCAGGTCAGGAACTCAAGTCAGGAGCCTGGAGACAGGAATTGATGCAAAGGCCATAGATGGATGTCTGTTGGTTTACTCTTCATGGCTTGGTCAGTCTGCTTTTTCATTCACTGCAGGACCACCTGCCCAGGGTAGACACAACCCGCAATGGGCTTGGTCCTCCTGCATCAATCATTAAGAAAATGCCCCACAGGCTTGCTACAGGCCAGTCTTACGGAAGTGTTTTCTCAATTGATGGTTCCTCTTCTCAGGTGACCGTAGCTTGTGTTGAGGCAGGAGATACTTGGAGTAATAGCATTGGTGCTATAAAGGTTTTACTAATAAACTTGCTTATGAAGTAAGAATTATACCGGTAGAACTTATCGAAGGGAACGCTGACTCCAATGTGACTAGACCGCAAGGAGTGTAATGACCAGGCTTGTCCATCACTTTATTACATTCTCGGGGTGGTGTGTCCAATGATTTCCAGGGCCTAATTTCCCTGATAAGATTTTAATACAAGCTCAATCTCCCCCTCTCCCCATCTCCCCCCACCAATAAATTTATAGGTCGGCTCTCTTTCTACTCCCAGGAATAAGTCATTTATCAGTCTGTGCTGGATGGGTGGAGCCTGACAGACTGCAGATTCTGGGGCTGCCCAGGGTTGCAATCATCCTGCATTCTCAAAATAGAGTCTGCCAGGGAAAGGCACAGCCTGAAACCATCATTTTAGACCATGTGGAGTGACTTAGAGCAGTTATTGTAATTGAGAGTGCAGTGAAACCTCTGAATTAGATCACTGTAGGAAAAAAGAGAGGTTGATTGGGAGATCAAACTGCCAAGGCTGTCACTCAGGGGGTTGGGGGGAGGCCAAGGGAACAGCAAAAGGCAGAAGAAGCCTTGCTAGATTTAAAGGACTAGGCTAAAGCGTGTATGTGTGTGTGAGTGTGTGTGTGTGTTGTGAGAGAGAGTGTGTTTGAGTGTTTGTGTATGTGTGTGTGAGAGTGTGTGTGAGTGTGTGTGTATGTGAAGAGAGAGAGTGTTGTGTGTGTGTGTGAGAGAGAGTGTTTGAGTGTTTGTGTTTGTGTCAGTGTGTGTGTGTGTGTGTGTGTGTGTGTGTGTGTGTGTGTGTGTGTGTGTGTGTGTGTGAACCAGAACAGCCTGGGAGTTAGAGTAGCAGGAAGTGAGGTACAGGCTGGAACAGTGTGGTCACTGGCATGGGGACTTCGATCTGTTGCAGGCTTGTTTGAGTTCATTGGAAAGTAGATGCCATTGCAGAGGTAGCTGGCTGTAGGGTTGGATAAGGGAAATAGTAGCTTTTCCTGACAAGCAGAAGCCCACTTGACAAGGTTTCTGAGGAAGACTGAGTTTAGGCTCTGGTTTTTTTTTGTTGTTGTTTTGTCTTTTTTTTTTTTTTGTTTGTTTGTTTTTGTTTTTTCGAGACAAGGTTTCTCTGTGTAGCCCTGGCTGTCATCAGTTTCTTCTTTTCCCAGGTCACAGGGCCCTCGCTTGCTTCCTCGTCTCTGCACACTCTCTCCCATGTAAGTGCACGTGTGACGATTAGAAGCTAGGGTTCCTGTGTGAGAAAGAATATGCTGTGCTTGCTGTCTGAGTCTTGGTTACCTCGTGGAAGGAAATGACTTACAATTCTATTTTTTCTTGCAGATTTCATTTTTCTCTACAGCCGAATGAAACTCTAGTGTGTACACGGACTATACGTCTTACTGTCCATTCATCTGCTGGTGGACATCGAGGCTATTCCATTTTCTTCCTGCTCTGAAAAGAGCAGCAGAGACCACAGATGTGCAAGCGTTTCTGAGGTAAGCTATTATGCTGGTTGTTTTCTATCTACCTCACAAACCTAGACATATCTGAGAAGAAAGATTCTTAATTCAAAATATGCCCCCGAGGAGCGGCCTGAAGGCAAATCTGTGGAGATACCGTACCGTCTTGGTTAATGACTAATGTGGAAGGGCCCAGTTCACTGTGGATGGTGTGAGCCCCGGGCTGGTGCGCCTGGGTGCTATAAGAAAGCAGGTCCCCTGGAGCTGGAGTTAGAGGGAACTGTGAAGCCTTCAGATGTGGATGCTGGAAACCATATCCAGATCCTCTAAGAGCAGTTAGTGCCCTGAACTGAAGCCCCAAACTCCAGACAAGCTATTGTAGAGAGAGACATCTGGGAACCGATGGACACCAAAGAGCCGTAATTTCCCCAGAAATCTCACACTAGGGAATGGAAACGTGAAAGCCTGATACCGCCAGGGGAGGAACATGCCTCCTAAGAAGTGAGTTCACACTGTTCTGAGAACTCACGAGGCCTCCTCTTGGGACAGACTGGAGCCATAGTGATGGGTTGGTGATGGTCTAGACACACCTAGATCAGGGTTGCTGAACTGTAGGCGTCTCTTGCATGATTTTGAAACCAAAACCTCGTGCCATACTCCTGAAGACTGCTTTGGAGCTGAGGGAACTTTTTTTGTTCCTCTTCCCAATATGGTCACATCGAACATTGAGGAAGCAGGCTAAATGTGGAGTCTCTGGCTCGGTACTTCTGTGCATTTCTGTGATGCTGTGTGTACTGAGGTAACAGTAGGAAATAGTGGCAGGTGTTGCCTCTAATTTCTGTAGTTTGCTGTTCTCAATGGCCTGCTTACACTTGTCAGAACATTCAATAGATCGTCAAGCTGGAATTGATCGGAAAATGTTACTGTAAATTCAAAATAAAATCATATGCGTTCATGCAGTAACTGTTACTCCGTCTCACATTCTCAAGTAAGATTTAAAGGTATTTATTCGTTAGTACTGGTCATTAAGCCTAGGAGAGAGTGCATGCTACACGTCTGTCCTACCATTGAACTACACTCTCTATCTCAAGCTTTCACACAGGAAAAAAGTCGGGGTCTCAGGACCTCAGAATGGGATTTCTGGGCCACAGAAAACAGTGCCTGGGCTTATGGCGCTCCTCAGAAACGTTCAAGACACACGGAATCACACCGGTGAAGTCAGGATCCTTACAGGCTTGGCAGAGCTGCGGTGGGCTCCGAGGAGGAGCCCTGGCTTGGGTTTGGGGTTTGTGGGGGTGGGGGTGGGGGTGACGTGTGCAGCTGGTGCATCAGCTCCCTCTGCAGCGAGCTGTGGGAACCGCAGTGAGCGTGGGCTCCCACGCTCCTCCGACCTGCAGTACTCACTCCGGCCGGAGGAGGCGCGGAGGAGGAGCAGAAAAAAAGGTGGGAAGCCGGAGCGGCCTCTGGAAGGGGGCGTGGCCTGGGCGCTGCTGCTGTGATTGGCCAAGCAGGGCACGGGGGCGGGGCTGAGCGCTCCCCGTGCTCTTTTGGGTGCTCTGTTCCGAGGTGAAGTCAGGGAGGACCACTGCGCGGGGAGACGGGTGAGGAGCCGGCCGTACGGCGTCTGTGGGAGGAGGGCGTCCTTTCCTGAGGCATTTCCTCGCTCTTTGGCCCCTCGATGTCCGACCGAGCGGAGTCCTCCCTGAGGAAAAGGGCCCATTGCACCGATGTGTAAGCCGGCGAGAGCGGCTGAAATGGGGCTTGTCCCTGCGTCACCCCGTGATGAACGGTGCCCCATCCTGGAGCTGCTCGCCCGCCCTTGTTCAGCTCCGAGGCTGCCTTCCTGCACCATCGGGAATCCCTAGTGAACACACCTGGGGCTTTATTTTGTTGTAGTGGCGGCTTTTCTGCTTTCTTTCCACCAAGTTCTCGTCGCCACGTGAGATTTTGATATGATTTTGAACAAAAGGACACGGGCTAGATCATTCCGGAACACGTAAAATGTAATTTCCTCTACGCCAGCAGTTCTCAACGTGTGGGTCACGACCCCTTGGCGGGCCGCCTAAGACCATCAGAGACCTCAGATGTTGACATTATGATTGGTAACAGGAGCAAAATGACAGTTATGAAGTAGCAAGGGAAATGATGTGGGGGAGGAGGGTCACCACAACACGGGGAACTGTATGAAAGGGTCGAAGTCTTCGGAAGGTTGAGAACCGCTGCTCTATACGCAGAAAAGGAAACTTCCGGGAGGAGAGTTTTACCAGTGGATGTGTTTATAGCCCCAGGGCTGAAGGATGCCAGTGGGTCTTCTCCTTGCTACCTTAGCTTTCTCGTCAGGCAGGCCATCAGCCTCAGGCTCAGGAGTTCCTCCGCTTGTCTGAGAGTCCTTACTTTACATCAGGAACCCTTCATCTGTCACTTGCCACGGGGCCTCCTGCTCTTTGTCGGGCCTCCCTTCTATGATGGACTCTCCCCCTCTGGAACCATGAGCCAAAATAAGCCCCACCCCTCTCCCCTAAGGTGTGCGGAGTCTTACCCTCTCTCACCTTCGTTTCCTGGAAGGAGCACTCAGCAGGGAGCTCCTCCCAGAGCCATCCCCGAAGTGCTCCCTCACTGTTTGCTTCTGTCCACCCATTTCTGAGTTTCTCTCATTCTGATTAATGATGCCTTTTCATGCTTTACATCATTCTATTAATGGCTTTTTTTTTCTCTTCTGATTTTTGGAAAAGAAAAAAAAAACCCACTTTATTCAAGAGAGTGATGGTGGATTACTAAGTTGGAGATCAGCTTCTCTTTAGGGATTTGTTCTAGCAATGCTTACACTACAGGAAAGGTTTTACTACAGACTGGCAGGAATCAACTTTCATTTAATATACAATATACAGCAGTACAGAAGAAACGTATTTACAGTGTTAAATAGCCAACGTTAAAAACAGAGCATTTGCAACAGTGAAAAGGAGCAAACATATGTACAAAAAACGCTAAGTCTAAACGATTAGAGTGATCCACTCCACAGAGGGGAGAGGGTGAGAGAGCAGCAGCCTCTGTCTTCGTGATCACAGTTCCATCTCCTTGCAGACGTCGTCACGGGATCCTGAAACACAGTAAACCTGAGCCTGAGGATAGGATGTCCCTTGGATGGTGGGATGAGCAGGCGGAATCCCACATACAGGGTCCACTGGAGATCATTAGTTCTGATAAGAGAGTGGCACCATGGCCTGCCTTCCCTCTCCATGACCCTTTCGCTTTCTCGGGTGCATCCTGAGACCCTCAGGGTGAACAAGGACAGCAGTGTTTCTCTTTCTGTGCCTGATGGTCATGTAACGCCACCTTGTCTATCCTGTGACTTTCAGAGACCATGGGGACTAGAACTGGGGATCAATGGCAGAATGCGGGTGAGGCTTTGGGTTCTACCTAGAACATCACCAAACAGAGAAAAGGAAACTGAGCCTGGGCTCGGAAAGAGGGTAAAGGGCCAGGAAATTGAACGTATTCTGAAGTTCAAGGACTACGAATATAGACACCAGACGGGGACCCACCACAGGAAAGTCGGAAAATGTGGGAAAGGGGGGGATGGGGAAGAGCTACAGAGAGAAGAGTTGGTAAGAGCCGGTCGGCGGTGGCGCACGCCTTTAATCCCAGCACTCGGGAGGGAGAGCCAGGCGGATCTCTGTGAGTTCGAGGCCAGCCTGGGCTACAGAGTGAGTTCCAGGAAAGGCGCAAGCTACACAGAGAAACCCTGTTTCGGGGTGTGTGTGTGTGGGGAAGAGTTGGTAAGAAAATCAGAGACACAAATAAGAGGCGCTACATACCAATGGCTGGTTCTGCCTTCTCATCCTTGGCGTCAGAGAAGCATGCTTCCGCGTGTACCAGGGCAGTGACAGATATGGAGTGACCTTGGAGAGAGGAGGATGGAGTTCAAGTCTAGGGTGAGGATCCGGGCCTCTGCTGCACTACCTCAGACTTCAGTCCCTCATCCCTCTGCTCCTGTCCTGGGGTCTTCGTCTCCTTACCTGGCCACTCAGGACAGACTCTGGTGATCTTTTTCCAACCCAGACCCTACCATAATGCCAAGGGGCAGTGCCGGTGTTCTGTTCTTCCTAAAGGCTGGCACAGTCTCCGTGACTTCTTGTGCCTGGCAGCGGCCACCCCCACCCCCGGGTGCTGCCTCACACTGCCCATCTCAACCATTGCCGCCAGTTTCCTCTCTCCTCCGTAACCTTGCTCCCATGGAGTTCTCCAGTGTGGGGAGATTGGAGGAGAGCGCTAGATTCTATTGTCCCCTCCCTAACCACTCAGCTAACCATGGCCTTTATACACAAGTGCGCCCGTCAAGGGCCAGGAGATGTGTCTGTCTCCTGCGGCAGAATGACAACCCAACGCACGTGTTGATGAATGTCCTGGGCCTGCGGTGACCCGAGGGACTTGGTGGACATTGGGATGTCACAACAATTCCATTGCCCAACAAGGGACGGTAAACACAAGTTGACAGGCTGAACAAGCGGGCCAGATCCCCCTTGTTCCTTCTCTTACAGAAAACAGATGAGTGGTAACCTAAAGGGAAGGGGCCGGGCAGTCTTTACACTGTGCTGAGATGGTAACTAGCGGGTCTGAGCACAAGGGACAGAATCAGGAGATGCAGATACTCTCTGTGTAGAGCAGCCAAGGTGGATCGGATAAAAGCCCCGCGAACCTGCTGGGCGTAGCCTCTGTTCCGAGCCCGTGGCAGGCTGAGTGCCTGGGCATGCTGCCCCTTCCCACGCACACTCTGTTACGACTGCCTTGCTTCAGAGAGGCCCAAGGGGCCCCGGGACATAGGGGTCCCTCTTGGAAATATCTTCCGGGTTTGCTCCCAGTCCCACAGTATGGGAAACGGAGTCAGAGTGGAGGTGAGACGTGAGTGATGATGCACTCATCAGTCTTCTCCAGGACCTAGGAGCATGCACCGGCCTCCCAGCGGCCTGTTCGGTAACTCATCCCTCCCAGGAGTGTCCATACAAAAAGGCGCACAGTGAGAGTCAGGGCAGAGAATGGCTGACATCCTGAGGCCTGATAGAGCAACGAAGGAGGACGGACCTCTCACCCACCACCCATGTCATGCCTGAGAGTGAGACCTGTGTCTCTAGATTCCTTAAGCTGTGGGTCAACATGAACCCCAGACCAGATATCGTATGCACGGCCTCCAGCAGACGGCCCACAATCACAGTCCACTGTGGAGGCCTCTGGCCCAGAGCCCCGGGAGGCGGGGCTTGTGGAGAGGGTTAGCGTCAATTAGAAAAGCGAACACGACACTCGCTCCGCTCGCGGCAGTGAGCACGGATTCTTGCATCCGCAGTGAGCACGCATTCTTGCATCGAGAAACAAGGAAAGACGGTAGGCGTCTCTGCTACCTGGTTCTGTTCCCTGCCCGTTCATACTTCCCTCTCATAGCCCCCAGCGCAGCACCCACATCCCCAGCCCTCCCAGGAACCCTTTCCCGTACGGTTCTACCCCAAGAGGCCGTGTACCTTCCAAGTCTTCCTCGTCGCTGCTCCAGTCCCACTGCCTGTGGACGTTCCAACCTTTAGAAACACAAACACCAGCGAGACCGTCAGTGGACGGTCTTACCCGGTTCCTTCTGGGTCTCTTGTCGTGATGGTGGGGGTGTGGTTTGGAGGTGTGGTGTGCACCCCAGTGGTGAGTGCGGCAGTGTCGACGGGAGGTTAAATCTTGCGGAAGCCGCCTCGGTGAGGGGGATGTAATCAGACTGTTGGAAGCCAGCAAGCTGGCTTGGCAGGGGGAAGGTGCTTGCCGCCAAGCCTGATGACCTGAGTTTGATCCCAGGAATCCGCCCGGTGCAAGAAGACTGATTCCCA